ATGTTTCTCGTAAGTATACTTGGTGTCATTACTGTAAATAATGTCATCGTTATGCTCATTCTTTTGTAATTATTTATCATTGCTATTATTATTATTGCTATATCTCCCTTTGCTGTACTCAAGTCAAGTTAAACTCAAATTGCCTTTGCTGAAGCTCCCTTTGCCAAACGCAACTCAACTGAAACCCCGACGAAACCCCTTTTGATTAACTCAACTAAACTCGAACTCTTGCCAAACTTTGTCCAACTCAACTAAACTCAACCCAAATCAACCTAAATCAACCAGCTCAACTAAACTCAACCCAGCTCAAGCTAAATTCAACCCAACTCAAAGCAATTCATCCCAATTCAACCCAACTCAAACTGAACTCAAATCCTAAATTCCATATCATTCTGCTAAAAGTCCCTTTGCCAAACTTTGTCCAACTCAGCTAAAAAAAAAAAAAAAAAAAAAAAAAAAAACTAGCGCAATCCAGGTAAATTCAAACTAACCTCAACCCAACTCAACCCAAATCAACCCACATCATTCCAACTCAACTAAAGTCAAACTAAACTCAACCCAACTCAAAACTAAACTCCCTTTCCCCTTCCCTTCGTGAAACCTCCTTCCCTACGAGAGAGTCATCTTGCTATATCGATTCCGTCCTCCTTCTTCTGCTTTGCTCCCCCCCACCCCCTTCCCCCGCGCTTACGACCACCTGCGTCCCACCTGTGGCGAGCAGACGTGTGATTGTGACAAACGCCGAGATTGAGTGCTTGGGTGATGGAGGCAAAGGAACATGGACGATGTATTTTCAGGTTCTTTCTTTCCCTCTTTCTTTCTTTCTTTCTTTTCTTTATTTGTAGGGAAGGAGAGAGTGTGTTTGGTTGGGTGAGGGAGGCAAAGGAACATGGGAGAATGTGTGGGTTTTTATTTATTTAGTTAGTTAGTTATTCATTTATTTTACTTATTTGTAGTTTTGAGTTTGTGGAGAGAGTGTTTGTTTAGATGTATGTGTTTTTCTTTTTTTTTTCTTTTTTTGTAGGAAAGGAGAGAGTGTGTCTTGTCGTGTGTGTTCCTTCGTGGGGAAAGTGTATTTGCCAGTGTTTGTTTGGGAGAGAGACTGTTTGGTTGTTTGTGTTTGTGTTTTGAGTATTTGGCACAAGGAAGAAATGTCATTGCTTGCATTATGCCATTTACTTAACTTTCTGTATTTGTGAGTTTTGCGGTCGTTTCGGTGTCTGTATCCCCGTGTGTGTTCCCGAAATACACGTTAGTTTAGTTGTATTTGTGGCATTGCGTATGTTCAGAACCAGTCGCGACAAAAGACTCAGACCACATAGAGCTCTCACATACAATAACACACTTACGATAACAAGGACACGTCAAAAACAGCGACAGCGACCCCAACAATAACAACAACATCAACATTGACAACAACAAGAGTAAAGAAACCACAAAGATCAACATGTCAACAACAATAACAACAAAAAAACAACGTGGCTCACAACACCCTCACAAGAATGAACAATGGTCTTCAAGGGAGGGAATGAGGGCGCGTATGGAACGCTAAGTGTGGGGGAAGGGGAGAGGGAGGGAGGAGAGGGTGAGGGGGGTTGGGTAGGGAGGGAAAGGTGAAGGGAGATAGGTAGAAGGAGAGAAAGGAAGGGAGGAGTAAAGAGAAAGGGGGAGGGAGGAGAGGGAAAGGTAAGGGGCTGGAGTATAAGGAAGGGGAAGGGGTAGGATAGTGTAGAAAGGGGTGGGGGACCGTAAGGGGAAAGGGTAGTAGGAAAGGAAGTGAGGAAGGGGTTAAAAAGAAGGGAGGGAAGAAGGAAGAAGGAGGGGAGGAACGAAGGGGAAGAAGAAAGAAGGATGGGAGGAACGAAGGGGAAGAAGGAAGAAGGAGGGGAGGAACGAAGGGGAAGGGGAAGGGTAATAAGAAGGGAAATGAAGGTAAGAAGAAAGGGAGTGTGGAGAGGGAAGGGAAGAGTAAGGAAAGGGATTAGTAGGAGAGAGAGGGAGGGAAGCATGGGGAAGGGTGGAGACGAGAGATAAGAAGGAAGCGTAAGGGGGGGGGATAAAAGGGGAAAGGAAATATGAGAATAATTAAGGGAATAGAAAACAGAAAGGAGGGGGGGAAAGAGGATGATGACGGGACGGGAGAGAAGGAGAAAGAGAGAAGTAGGAAAGGAGAAGGTAAGAGGAGAGGAGAGAAGGGGAAATGGGGGAAGGTAAGAGGAAAAGAGGGAAAAAAAGGGAATAGCGAGAGAAGGAAAAGAGAAAGCGAGGGGAGAGGAGATGGAGAGAGAGAGGAAAGGGAGGTTCTTAATAGTTATCATAATGATGAGGATGATAATGATAATGATAATAATAATGAAGATGATTGTAATTACAATGACAATAATAATATCAATAATAATAATAATAATAACAACAATTATTATGATTATTATTATTATTACAATTATTATTATTACAATTATTATTATTATTATTATTATTATTATTATTATTATTATTA